TATTTATTTGAGATAGGGTCTCCCTGTAGCCCCAGCTCACCTGGAACTCGCTATGTAGACCAGAAGCTGGCTTTGAACTCACAGATATCCACCTGCCTCTGCCTCCCTAGTGCTGGAACTAAAGGCATGCACCACCATGCCCAGCTTAAACACAGTTTAATACTTTCAAATACAATTCTTTAATATGCTAACTTTATAGGTCAGTTGCACATAATTAAATTACCCAAATTAGAAAACAATACAATCTCAAAAATACATTATCTTAGGTCTATTAACACACAAAAATGAACTCCCAGTTTCAAAGTGAATACATATTAAGGAAATAAGTAATCTATTGAGCTTTGACTGTAAAAAGCCAAAATTCCAATAGAACTTAAGGCACAGAATATATTTAGAAGAATGACTTCAAACTTTTACTCCACAAAGAGCATATAATTAGGTGTAAGAGTGTCAGCTAGAAAATAATGCATGAAATCAGTGAGACAACATTTCAAAAAGCTTCAGCTTTAATTTATTTTCCCAAAACGGTTTGAGTTCCACGTCTTTAAACTGTACTGGTCAGCAATAATGTGTCTCACTTCCCTGAACACTTGTGTTTTCCATGAATACAGCAGAAGCTTAACATTTTCTTTATACTATACATCTTTACACGCTCTCTCACACACACACACACACACACACACACACACATACATGTATCACATACATCAACTCCATTACTAGCATCATATGTTCTTTTTCAGCTCTCAACAAATGCCTGCTATATGAACAAGTGATTGTATGTAGGGTGCTTCAGGTAACAAACTAAGGCCATGGTGATACGTGGTTTAAGATGTTGAGGATAATTTTATTAAAACATGCTCTCAAGGGATCAAAATGAGGCAGATAAAATACCTGTTTCCCAAAAATAGTCCTTTGGAAATTCTTCAATACTTCATATATTATATTTCAGTCAATGTTTTCTACTTTAATTTTGCATTTAAAAATTCTTTACTAGGTCTAGGGACACAGTTCAATGCACAATGCTTGACTCCAATACATGGGGCATATGTGAAAAATAATTCTTTTTGTTTGTTTGTTTTTGTTTTGGTCTTTTTGAGACACAGCCCCAGCTGTCCTGGAACTCACCATGTAGACAAGGCTCTGTCCTGGAACTCACTATGTAGACCAGGCTGGCCTTGAACTTACAGAGAGCTGCCTGCCTCTGCCTCCTGAGTGCTGGGACTAAAGGCATGTGCCACCATGCCGGCTTGAAAAAAAAAAATTCTTAACCATACTTTGGCAGTACAAAGACAGGAAATGTGCTCTAATTCCAGACTAAAACTTCATTATGCAGAGAAATAAGAACACCTGGATTTTCTTAGAGAGTCTAACTGAACCACCAATATGCTTATGCAATACACAAAAACATGCTTAGCTAATAAAAATAGGTAACAGCAACAGACTACAAAACTAAGTACAGATTGTGGCTACAATTCTATAAAACATACAAACCTTAGTACAGGAGGGAAACCCAGCAGGAACTACACAAATCCACAGAGGGACTCAGCTCACAGGCAGAAGCCACAGACAATATTCTACCTCCCGCATCATCAATGTTCTATTTCCAAGGCTTAATCTCATCCTGACATGTCTCTATATACTCTGTACTTTTTAATCTCCTGCTTACTTACACACATCATTAGATGTCACTAATTACTATCTGTTTTTATATTTTAAAATGACACTTTAGAAGCAGAGTGGCTTAACTGTGAGTCACAGTTCAGTCATTCTAACAGGAAGAACTTCAAGTTACTTCACGTCTAGAAGCCTAAATTTTCCCATCTAAGCAGGTCACTGTGGAAGGATTAAGCATCACCTCAGGTTAAAGCAGGCTGCCAACCTCACAGTAGTGCCCACACTCACTCAATCCCTTTTCAACATTTTCCATTGGTGAATGAATTCCTATACAGTGAACAGACGGCTCTGGTTGAGCACTGGAGTGAAGGGGCAATCAAGTCATCTTTAGAAGAGAATCCTCTATCAGAAGCTTTCAAGACTAAAAAGCCAGGCAATGTACTTTAAACAGATCTCAGTACTCCTTTATACTTGGCCAGAATGGGGCCTCTCAGTGCTGAATACTGCAGCCCACACAGCAGATGGAACTGCCATAAAAGTGAAAACGTCTGTCACAGCATCCCAGACAGGTATTTCTTAGAAGAGCTTTGTCCAGTACACAGAGCACTGTGCCTATAAGACAGGACAGAACTGGGCATGGTGCACGTCTTTAATCCCAGCACTTGGGAGGCAGAGACAGGCGGCTTTCTGTGAGTTCGAGGCCAGCTGGGGCTATAGGAAGACCCTGTCTGAGAAAAGAAAAGAAAGAAAAGAAAAAGGAGAGGAGGGGAGGGGAGGAGAGGAGGAGAGGAGAGGAGGAAGAGGAG